TTAATCGAGGATAATAATAATAATAAAAAACTCTAGGAGGCTGTCATAAAGTGGGCTTTCGGCAGTCACTCTTCGCAGTCTTGAATGTTTTTCTTGTTAATTGCTCTGTTGGTGAGGCGCTGTCGCCCCAGCCCAGCTGCCCGCATTCTTTATTTATGTTTGCTTTTTGGGGGGGTCACACCCCGCGATGCACAGGAGTTCCTCCTGGTTCATGCACTCAGGAATTACTCCTGGCCCTGCTCGGGGGACCCTATGGGATGCTGGGAATTGAACCCGGGTCAGGCCGCATGCAAGGCAAACGCCCTCCCCGCCAAGCGATCGCTCCAGCCCCTGTGCCCGCATTCTTGAGATGAGGTTCCCTTGAAAGGCCACGTGCTCTCTCCTTGGGAGACCCTGTTTGCCACCCCTCCGGGCACTTAATACCGGGCTGTCACGGTGCCTGGGGCTTGTCCTTGTTCTTGGCCACAGCGAACGCAGCGGGGTGGAGACACGGTGTGGGAAGGCAGTGATTGCTGCCACCTCCCCCTTTAACAGGATTCCCTGTCGTCTGGCTTCCTGATTCAGTGATTCCAATATTGACTGCTTGAAAGATTAATTGACGCAGTTCATGAACTAGCCTCGGTTTTAATCATTGCTTAAGTTGATAAAACCACGGGCTCGTTTTTGTGTTTCAAACAAGGCAGCGTGGGCAGGACAAAGCGCTCCACCTGCTCTGCTCGCAGGAGGTCCAGGTTGGAGTCCCAGCACCGCAGGTCCGTCTCAGGTACCCTCTTTGACTCTTTTACATAGTAACATCTTTGTATCATCATTTCCACCTTTCTGAACCAGGAACCTTAGTTTAGAACTCGCTGTTCTGGATATTTTAAAATCACGTCAAAGACTGCAGCGAGTTCCCTCCCTTTCTCCTTGGCTTTGCCCACAAGTAGGTTCTCAGTCAATATTTGAATGTTTAGGCTGGGGGGTGGGGGCGGTCCTCACCGAACGATACTCAGGGGTTACTCCTGGCAGTACTTGATGGACCTTATGGAATACCAAGGGGTCTGTAACATGCAAGGCAATTAACTGCTTCACCTGCTGTACTATCCCTCCAGCCCCATCACGTGTTTTTGATTTTTGCAGAGGGTGGGGTGGGGGGTAGGGGAGGGCCTGTGTTGTGGGGTTTTTTTCCCTAAATTTTTATTAGTGAAACACCATGAGGTACAGTTGTAGACTTACAAATGTTTGTGCTTGGGTTTCAGTTATACAATGATCGAATACCCATCCCTCCACCAGGGCCCATTCTCCACCACCAACGGTCCCAGTGTCCCTCCCACCCCCCTTCCCCCATCCCACTCTACCACTGTGGCAGGGCATTCCCTTTTGTTATCTCTCTCCTTTTGAGTGCTGTGGTTTGCGAAAGAGATATTGAGTGGCAGTCTTGTTCAGACTATAGTCTACTCTCATCACGCATTTCCCATCCTGAGAGGAACCTCCCAACACTCGATATTTGGTGCTCCCCTCTCTGTCTGAGCTGCCTTTTCACCTAGCATGTGCAGTTGTCCTCAAAGCCATGGAGTAATCCGCCTGGTACTTATCTTTTTTTTTTAAACTAAAGCGTACCCCTAAATTTATCTTTAGGTTTTGTGACTTGGGTGTTAATTAGGCTGTAATAATTTACTGATGCACTGTTATGTATTCACCTTGATTTAAGACCTGGAAGGTGGAGGGTCCTGTTAAGCTCCTGGGATCTAGTCACTCTCTGCAAAGCTCTGGGAACCATAAGGGGCCAGGGATGGAATTGGCTGCAGAAAGCAAGACCCTTCATAAGGCCTTACTCCCTTTTCTATCTGGCCCCTCTAGGCCTGTTTTGAATACACTGATATAGTTTGACATTTTGCATGTCTTATTTAGAAGAATTTGCTTGTAAGTAATTCTCTAGACTTTTAACTGTCTAAACACTTAACCTCTTTAAACCCAGGTTAACCAAGGAGCTGGAGCGATAGCACACCAGGTAGGGCATTTGCCTTGCATGCTACCAACTCGGTTCAATTCCCAGCATCTTATATGGTCCCCCAAGCACAACCAGGAGTAATTTTTGAGTGCAGAGCCAAGAGTAACCCCTGTGCATTGCCAGGTATGACCCAAAAAGCAAAAAAAAAAAAGAAGAAGAAGAAGAAAAAAAAACAGTTTAACTGTTAAGTGCTAACAAATTTCACACAAAATCTGTAATATCCTTCAGAAGACACAGAATAAGTACAATTGTCGTAATTTTCTTTTCTTTTTAAAGATTTCAAATTCAACCACAATGGTTTTGGTTTTTGTTTTTTTTTGTAGGAGTACTGCTATTTATTCAGCCACTGATTAGCTGATTGAATTGGGCATGAACTCCACCTTAATTATTTTATTTATTTTTTTCTTTATATTTATTTATTGAATCACTATGGGAAAAGTTACTAAGCTTTCAGGCTTAAGTCTCAGTCATACAATGATCAAACACCTTTCCCTTCACCAGTACTCATTTTTCACCACCAAGAACCCCAGTATACCCCCCTCCCAACCCTCCAAATGCCTGTGAGGCAGATGATTTCTACTTAACTCTTCTCTACATTGATTACATTCATTATTTCGACAAAAGATGCACCATTATTGTTTAAAATTTCTACCCAATCAGAATTGCGGAAAAGGCATTGTGAAATACTTTGTTTTCTATAGCTGGTTATGAGAATCATATAATCATATAATCACGCGGCCACGATTTTGGATTTCTTTAAGGAGCCAGATAATTATGAGATTGGTTTCTGTGTGTCCAGTGTTATGGCCATGCCAGAGAACCGCTCGTGGGAGGTAACTCATGAGCTCGGTAGGGCGTGAAGGACGTGCCGGTACTGTCCCCCTTCCCATGAGACTGCAGTTGCCCCATCACTGCCAGCTCATGCCTGGCTTTCCAATACACTCTGAGGTAGCGGCCACCTTGCTGCCGGTGGGGGCGGGGAGGTGGAAGGGAGCAACATCCTTTCCCTCCTGGGGGAGCATGGAGCCTGTAATTTAACGCATGTTCCATTCACTTTTCTGCCGCAAGCTTCCAGGCTCTGGATTAAGTCCTTTTGCCTCTGGAGCCATGGCCGTGCCAGAGAGCCGCTTGTGGGGGGCAACTCGTAACCTCGGTAGGACGTGAAGGACCAGTGTTGTAATTTTCTTAAACATCTTCTTTCTATTTCATTTAGAGAGAATTTTCCACCTCCATGTTTGAGACATGCATGCAGGGATTCAGAGTTTTCCTCTGTTGACAGATTATTCATTAAATCTCTAGATGAATTTACGTATAGAGATTAGATTATATAAATAATACTAGTAGGTGTTATTGTATGACTTAAAATCTGTAAATTAGTTAACCTTTTGCTTTTTCCATGGGTCATTATAGATCAGTCGTCTTGTGTTTTCCTTTGAAGATCTAGTAACAGTACTTCTTCACTCAAAGTTGCCAGGAGGCTCTTAAAGACTTTGACTTATGGAAAATGACATAAAAAAAGCAGATCTTCAAAAACATCCTTTGTTCAGCATGACACATGGAGATTGCTTTTTTCTATCAAAATTATAAACAATGTTTGTAAGATAACTTTGGCTTGTCCTTTCTCCATTGCCACAAGTAGCACCCATCACAGTGCTCCCGAGTCACTCCCTTTCCTCTGTTTATCTGTAAACTCTTCTCTGTGCTCTCCTCCCTAGCCAGTTGATCACCTTTTCTCCCTAATCAGATTATGTTAGCTTGTAAGATCAGATCCTTCTAAGGACACTGAACTCGTATTGTAAATTATGTCTTTCCTATAATTTACCTTAAAGCAATGTCCTTTCTGTTTGGACACAGGAAGACATTTAATATTATGCTTTGTAACTTGGGAGTTAATTGACTCCGAATAATACTCAGTTTGCCTTAGTTCCTAGCACCCCTAAAGCAGGGTCCTGACGAGGGACCCAGGGCAAGTTGTGAGATAAGTTGAGGGCATGATTATGGACAAATGCTGCCATGATCCAAAACTAAGTAACGACGAGACTAGGACCCTGCTGGGGCTAGGAAGACTAACCTGGCCTGAGGACTGCGGAATATATGGTGAGATGTCCTCAGGAAGAACCAAACTGTAAGTTTATGTCTCTTACTGTGTTCATACAGAATGACATTGCTAGAAATATTGAAAGTACTAGCTGAGGAAAGAACACACCCTTGTTGGGATCCCACCTTTGAGCAGATCTCCTAGTAATCTGGAATAATCTCTTTAGATGAGATTTTATCTGTGAGTTAATCTCCTCGAGGAGTGGTCTTACCTCCCTTTGCTGATTTGTTAATGTTCAACCCACCTTTGTGTCACCACCCCATATGATTGCTATATAAACTAAGACTGTAAGCTCGGGGCGGGGGGGGGGGGGTAGTTAGAAGGTGCAGGCAGGCGGGAGAAAGCTCAGCCTGAGGAGGAGGCTGGGCCCCAGAGGAAAGAGTCAGAGGTGAGAGGGGCTTAGGATTGAGAGAGAGAAGAGAGAGAGGGGTGGGTGAAGATTGGAAAAAACAACAATTAATACGACCGGCCAGCGTGGCCCTCGTTCGTTCCCTCGCCTGCCCATCGCCATCGACCTCCCTGGGGTAGGGGAAATGGCTCGAGCTACCGAACATGGGCGGCGGGAGAGATAGAGTGCCGCTGGCCTTCCGAAAACACACCAATGTTCAGCATGTCATTAGAATATCATTTGCAGTGGTTGCTCAAGTCAGACTTTCAAAATTATTGTGGCATACATGTTGGTTTAAAGTTGTCCAACAAGGGACTGGAGTGATAGTACAGTGGGTAGGGCGTTTGCTTTGCACACAGCCGGACCCGGGTTCATTTCCCAGCATCCCATATGGTTCCCCAAGCACTCCTGGCTCTGCACTCAGGAGTAATTCCTAAGTGCAGAGCCAGGAGTAACCCCTGAGCATCGCCAGGTGTGACCAAAAAGTAAATAAAGTCGACTAACACGGTTGTTACTCTTGCAGGATGGCGTCCAATTTAAATCAAGATGAATTGCCTGGACTATCTGATGTTATTAGTGCTGACCCAGAGGTAAGACCTTCAGAAATAAATTTTGATGCCATTAAGCTTGATCTCTCACATAAATTTTCCTTAGTTGCTTCGAACAATGAGGTGAGTACAAGAAAAGCACTGTTTTGAGTATCTTAGTTGAGTGGAAATGTGTGTCTACATGGAAATATGGTAGATCTAGAATAGAGCTTTTCTGGCTGGATTTTGGGTCGGAGAGGTAGCTCAGCAGACTGAATGCATCGTTTGCATGCAGGAAAATTGGATTAAACTATGGTCTGACATGGTCACAAAGCACCACCAGAGTACAAACCAGAATGTAGCCCCTGAGCACCACCGTTCCCCAAAAAATAACAGTAAAAAATTTGTAGATTTGAGGCAACCTTCCATTTTAGTAACTTTTTCATGGTTTACTCCCAATTGAGATACCATGATTTACAGTCCTGTTGATGTGTTCATTGTTAATAGTAACTATAAATTTTTTTATTTTTTAAATTTTTAAATTTTATCTTCATAAAGCTATTCACAATAATTGATTACATTCAACAGATACATCAGGTGGTGTATCTTTAGACATCTGGGGAGGAAAAGGTGTTCCACTTAATAGATCTAGTCACTTTTTATAGATCCTGTTATGAGTGTCTCTTCCTACCCACTTCTACTCCTCCCCCACCCATTCATTTTCCAAATTAGGAATATGGGATTGTGGTGCCAGAGATTGAAAAAGGGTTAGTCACATGCAGGCAAGTGCCTTATCCCTCTATAATGTCTTTACAGCCCACTTTAAAGAAAGATGACCTATGAAAAGCCCTATTTTGTATCTTTAAAATAAAGTTATCTTGCTCCCTTTTTTTTTAAGACAAGCAGTTTGGAACCCATAGATTATCTCCAAGTTTATCTTCGAGTGAGACCATTCACACAATCAGAAAAAGAACATGAGACTCAGGTTTGTGTTGAGTTTGCTTGGGGTTTATTCTTTTACTTTTTGTATTGAATGGACAAAATACCATTATTTTCATTTATTTGTTATGTTTAATTTTACGTGTTGTGTTCTATTTAGGGTTGTGTTTATAGTTTAGACTCCCAGACTATTATGCTGAAAGATCCTCAAAGCATCCCTGGTAGGTTAAGTGAGAAAAGTTCTACGCAGATGGCACAGAAATTCGGTTTCTCTAAGGTAGGTACACTGGAAAAGGTGAACTTGAAAAGTCTTCTTTTAATAGAGGGAAACTTTGGCAGATTTATTACAAAATTGTGTATATAGACTGCTCTGTGTGTGTGTGTATTATGTGGTTGTGGAACTTAGATCTTAAGCACCAGTACTTTTTTTCTCAAGTCTAGGACTCAAATGCCAAATTTAATACATGTATAATCGTAGTGAACAAATCAGTGTGTGGTCCTTAAACAATTTTATCAAGTATATTTGTAAGAGTTAGGGATACGGTACTATATTAAGAATGAATCTTCTAAAACAAATTATTTTAATTTTTGAAGTATGAGTGACGGATAGGGAGGAATCCATTGTTAATAGTAACTATTAAATTTTTCTTTATTTTTTAAATTTTTAAATTTTTTATCTTCATAAAGCTATTCACAATAATTGATGACATTTAGTATTTCAACTCCAATCTCACCCCCATTATTTGAATTTTCCCACTAATACACAAGCCTGCCACACAGGCAGATGCTAAATTTAATTTATTTTGTATTGCTTGTTGTGAATAGTATGAGATGTTGCATGGCCACGAAAGTGGCCTCGTGCTCCTAGAATTCTAAAATTTTAAATATTTGGGATTCAGAGGCATCTCTGTGGTGCCTTCCAGGAAACCAGAAGGGCAGGGATATGGGGGGGGGGGTTGCCCATTCCTGACTTCATGAAGCCTGGGGTTTCAGTCACAGTTCCTGCATTCCTGGGTATTAGCAGATTCATTCTCATGCAAAGGGAGCTCCCTAGGGAAGAACCTGTGAAGGTTGGCTGTGAGCATGGCGGGGATTAGGTTCTGGAGGTTTGAGGCTGCTCGGGTTCATCTGGAGCAGGCACATGGACACACCTGCCCCCCTCCTATGTACCCAGTGGAATCAGCCTGGTGAGTGGTGGGGAGATATCTATCTCTGCAGCATGCTGCTCTTTTCTAAGATTCATTTGTGAGTCCTGAAATTTTCTTTAAAGGTCTTCTTTTTAAAAATTTTTTAGGTTTTTGGCCCAGAAACTACACAGAAGGAATTCTTCCGAGATTGTACTCTGCAGCAAATAAAAGACCTCTTGAAAGGAGAAAGTCGGCTGATTTTTACTTATGGGCTAACAAATTCTGGAAAAACATATACTTTTCAGGGTAATTGTTTTATTTATTCAGGAAAGAACAAAGAAGAACCAATACAGATTTTTATATACTTGTTAATAATTATATTTTCACTATCTAGTATATTCCATTTTTAAGTATATTGAATATGTATTGCTAGTGACTTTTAATTCCGTTTGGGTTTTTGGGGGTTTCTTTTGGGGGGGGTTCACACCCAGCAATGCTCAGGGGTTACTCCTGGATTTGCACTCAGGAATCACTCCTGGTGGTGCTCGGGGGACCATATGGGATGCTGGGAATCGAACCTGGGTCAGCCACATGCAAGGCGAATGCCCTGCCCGCTGTACTGTTGCTCCAGCCCCCAGTTTGATTTTTTTTAATTAGTACAACTACCTATATGAAAGAGTTTGATGATGAGGGGAGTTGAAGAGAGATAAGGTGCTTGCTTATCTAGCATTTAGCTGACTCTGATTGTATCTCTTGAGCACCTCCAGGAATGATCTCTTAGAACAAAGTCAGGACTGGGTGTGCCCTGAAAAAAAACCAAAAAGAGACGTAGATAATACTAAAAATAGGGAACTAGAGAGGTAGTAATGCCAGTAAGACACTTGATTTACAGTACTTGAAGTTCAGCGCTACATAAAATCCCTCTAAATACCACCAGGAGTAATCCCTGAGCACAGTGTCAGAAGTAAATCCTAAACACCTCCAAGCACTGTCACACTGTCCTCCCGTTGTTCGTTGATTTGCTCCAGTGGGCACCAGTAACATCTCACAACAAATTGTGAGACTTGTTGGTACTGTTTTTGGCATATCGAATACGTCACAGGTAGCTTGCCAGGCTTTGCCATGCGGTCGAGATACCCTCGGTAGCTTGCCGAGCTCTCTGAGAGGGGAGGAGAAATCGAACCCAGGTCTGCAGTGTGCAAGGCAAACACCCTACTTGCTGTGTTATGCAGCGGGTAAACACTTCCAAACCAGAAAAAAAATCAAAAACAGAAACCAGTAAAAGGATTGATACAACATAGTGAATTAAGCAGAGCAAAGAAGCAAAAACATTTTATATTTTATAATTATGAGTGGTTGCACTTTTTAAGTCTTGCTCTGAATGTAAAATTTCAGGTTTCGTATCAGAATAATAGTTTTAAAAGTGTTGTTTGTACAACAGAGACCAGAGTGAAAGAAAAATTAGTAATCCTTTAACTCCTTGCTTTTGCTGTAGGGTTTTGTTTTTTTGTTTTTTGTTTTTGTTTTTGTTTTTTTGGCTATTGGACTGGAGCGATAGCACAGCGGTAGGGCATTTGCCTTGTGCGCAACCGGCCCGGCAAAGCTGGGTTTGATTCCTCTGCCCCTCTCGGAGAGCTCAGCAAGCTACTGAGAGTATCTCGCCCACAGGGCAAAGCCCGGCAAGCTACCCGTGATGTATTCGATATGCCAAACACAGTAACAAGTCTCACAATGGAGACATTACTGGGCCCACTCGAGCAAATTGATGAACAACGGAAGGACAGTGCTACCGTGCCTATTGGTGACATAAAAGGAACCCCAATAGTGCAGAAATTCTTTTCCTTCACAGTACTCTGAGAGAAAACAAGACAAAAATTCTTTCCACAGGCACGAAAGAGAATGTTGGCATCCTACCTCGGACTTTGAATGTACTATTTGACACTCTTTGGGCAAGACTATATACGAAAATGAATCTTAAACCACATAGAGCCAGAGAATATTTACAATTGTCACCAGATCAAGAGAAAGAAGAAGTTACTAGCAAAAGTGCATTACTTCGGCAAATTAAAGAGGTTTGGAGTTGTCTTAGTATATAATATACACATTATAGCCTTTTTAAAGTTCCATCATTTGTTTTAGCCTATAGTGGAATGTATGATGGTAATCGGGGCTATTGGGGGGGGCAGGTTTTGTTGTTTGGTTTGGTTTTTGGACTACACCCATTCATGCTCAGGGTTTACTTCTGGTTCAGCATTCAGGAATTACTCCTGGTAGTGGTCAGAGGACCATATGGGATGCTGGGGATCAAACCCAGGTCAGCTATATACAAAGCAAACATCCTACCCACTGTACTATCGCTCTGGTGCCCTTAAAATTACTTCTTAATTGTAGAAGTAATTTGTATGTGTAAAATATAAAGTGAACATTTCTCTTCCTAAAGAACAAAGTTACCAGACTAGAAACTATTCATATTATACAGAAAGAACTTACAAAAAAGTTTTTGTATGTATTTTTGTGTTTTATTTTGTTTTTTTTTTTTGGTTGGGGGGGCCATACCCAGTGATGCTTAAGGGTTACACCTGATTCTGCACTTAGGAGTTACTCCTGGAGGTGTTCTGGGGACCATATAAAATGTTTGGAGTCAAACCCATGTTGGCTATATACAAGGCATGTGCTCTCTCTGCTCTACTGCCTCTCCGGCCCCCGTGTATCTAGTTTTGTAAAAGTCTTTAACAGAATATTTTCTATAGGGCCAGGGCGATAGATAGTACAGTGGGTTGGACACTTGCCTTGGGATTGATAGAGATTTTCTTTTTTTGTTTGTATTTTTGGGTGGTTTTTAGTTTTGTTTTGCTTTGTTTTCTGGCCTTTACCAACTGCAGTCAGGGCTTACTCCTGGGATCACTCAGAACCATATGGGGTGCCAATAATTGCATGCAAGGCAGGCACCTTACCCAATGCACTATCCCTGGACCCCTTTTCTAGGGGGTGGGGATCATAGCCATCGTTACTCAGAAGCTATTCTGGGCTCTGCTAAGAAGTGTTACTCAGGGGACCACACATAGTATCAAGAATTCAAACCAGTAATTTAGTACATTTTGCTGCAACAGTATGGAAGGCTAAGTGCCTAGTCCTGTCCTATCTCTCCAGCCCCCCCTTTTTTGAGGGGGGGAGGAGTAGGAGATGCTTTGGCCATATCTCCTGTACTGTCTCTCCAGCTTTCCCTTTATGAGGGGTTGGGAGTGACTTGGGCCACAGCCTGCAGTGCTCAAGGACTTTCCAAGCCTCTGTGTGCAAGAGTAACTCCTAGCAATACTCAGGAGACCCTATTTGGTGCCCAGAATTAGAACCAGTGTTGGCAGAACGCAAAGTACATTCTGTAACCCCTATATTGTTTCTCTGGCCTGAGAATGTACTTTTTTAATTGGCTGGAAAATTTAATAGATCAACTATCTTAACATGGTTTTAAAGTTTTTTTAATCTTATATTTTCAGGCTGCTATGCATCATGACAGTTATGATGCTCTTCATGGTAAGGTGTCCTTTTTCACTAATCTTTAAAATGTGTATTGTCTGAAGAAATACATGAAAAGCTTTTAAATTTTAATCATTCCTATTGATTTAATTTCTTTAGTGACAGTACAAATCTAGAAAATGATACTTAGTATGAAATGTCAATCTAAAGTTTTATTTAGCGCATAAATAGCCCTTTACTAGTTCAAATATCTTAAATTCACAAGACAATTTTTTTTCTTTGTCCTTTGACTTTGGTTTCAGTTTGGTTCATTAGAATATTTCCAAAAGGAAAAGAAAGATAAGCCAAACTTTAGTTGACAAACAGATATCTGTTTCATTTGAAATCTATGAGCTGCTGTTAAATGATTAAGGATACTTAGTTTTCAAGTCTAGGAGGCTTGTTCTATCCTGTTATCTTGTTTTTAATGAGTTGCTGAATTGTTGTGATTATCCTTTTTAAAATTTTTTGTAGGGAGTTCGACGAACTCTTTGAGTACTTCAGAGTTTGAAGAATTTATGAAAGATTGTGAACAGTCCTGCTTGAACATGGATGATAGCATAAAGTTTTCTATTTGGATTTCTTTCTTTGAGATTTACAATGAATGTATTTATGAGTTGTTTGTTCCTGTATCTTCTAAGCTCCTAAAGAGAAAGATGCTACGCCTTTCTCAGGATGTAAAGGGCTATTCTTTTATAAAAGGTATAGTAATGAGTACTTTTTATTTTATTTATTGATTCAAAGTTCCTTTCTAGATTTTGTTAAAGCTATAAGAAATCAAACCAAGGAATAGATCGATAGTACAGCGGGTAAGGAATTTGCCTTGCATGCAGCTAACCTGAGTTTGATCCCTGACATCCCCATATGGTCCCCCAAGCACTGCCAATAGTCATTCCTGAGTGCAGCGCATTAGTAACCCCGATCATAATGATCCCCCTCAAAAAAAAAAATCAAACCAGAAATTGAAATTATTTTATTCTTTTAAAATTCAAGATAAAAAGATTGTGTTTAGGAAGTATGTTAATTAAACCTGAATATAAAGGGCTCTACTTGAGTGTTGCCATAGCGTTGCCAAATATCCCTAATTGGATTCACAAGTGGGAAAAGCTGTGAGTTTTCATATTATTCTGCCCTATAACAGTGTCCAAATTGACAACTATCGAAATGCTATTCTCCCAACCTGCTCCAGCCCCTGAACAGGCCATTTTAAATGCTTAGGTAGGGGCCAAAATGATAGTATAGTAGGTTGCCTTGCATGCAGCCCACCTGGGTTCAATTCTAGGAGCCCCATGTGGTCCCAGCACCCACCGGGAGGACAGAGACCCACCTACTCCAGCACAGAGCCAGGAGTAGGCCCTCAGCATCTCTGGTATGGCCCCAAAACAAAAAGAAAAATAAAGTGACCTGTTTTCAGAGCAGTGGTCGAGTGCATGTTTTGATAGTGAGGCCCTGGATTTGGCTCTTAGAGAGAGGGAGAGAAGGAGAGGTGATAGAAAATCCTACTCACAGCCTCAATACCTACGTATCAATACTGTCGTGACTTAGTACCTGCATATCTATATAAATATGCACACTAATACATGCATGTATAATTATGCCTCAGATTTTATTTACGATAAAGTATAACCTTTGTAGTAATATAATAATTTTGATTTGGGGGCAATACTGGGCAGTGCTCAAGGACTGCTCCCAGCCTAGTGCTCAGGAGTCACTCTGCAGTGCTTGAAGGACCAGGTGGTGCTAGAGCTTAAGCCCTGTGCTCTTTGTCACATCAGCTGTCTCTCCAGCCCCACCTTTTTTTAACTTAATTTTACACAATACTGATTATGACTGAGTAAATTTTGTTTTATGACTGCCTAATTTGAATCTGCATTGTCTCACCGCTATAGGCTTAAGCTGTACTGTTTCTTTTATGTTCTGGATTCTACTTCTAAGGAAAAGATTTTCTGTTTGTCAGACTATTTAAGAACTTTAACTTTGTCACCCATTGCTTCTTTTGCAAACCACAACACCCAATAGGAGAGAGAGAACAAAAGGAAATGCCCTGCCACAGAGGCAGGGTGGGATGGAGGGGATGGGGGGTGGGAGGGATACTGGGATCCATGGTGGTGGGAAATGGGCACTGGTGGAGGGATGGGTATTTGATCATTGTTTAATTGAAACCCAAGCACAAAAGTTTGTAAGTCTACAACTGTACCTCATGATGTCTCACTAATAAAAATTTTAAAAAAACTTTGACTTGATGTCTGTGACATTATGTCTTCCTTTTCTATACCTTCTAATAAAATAGTGAAAAGCTGAGTTGATTCTACCTCTAGGGCATATATTTATATGACTTTATGTTATATGACAAATGCTGTGTGTGTGTTTTTTTTATCTGTACCTTCTTTATTTTATCAAGATCTACATTGGATTCAAGTGTGTGATTCCAAAGAAGCATACAAACTTTTAAAACTAGGAATAAAGAATCGGAGTGTTGCCTTTACTAAACTGAACAGTGCTTCAAGTAGAAGGTAAAGAAGGCATCCTTTGGCATAAACCCAAAGCACCTAGACTATTCTATGCTAATTTAAATAAAACTAATTAAGATTAAAGTAAGTAGGAGGTTATCTGCTGTTAAGTTTTTTCACAGATGTGCAGAATACTGTAACATGAAGTGCACTCTAAAAATAAAACTTATCAGGAACATTTATTCTTGGATTTACTAATTTGTCTCCCAGGTGCTTTTCTTTATGTTAATATCTAAGCTTATTCCTTTCAGAGTTGCAAGTATTGGTGAATTTTTTTATTTTTTGCAGTTATCCCATGAACATAGCTTTTCTGCAACCTGGGTTTGCCCAGATCTTGAGGTTAAGGGAAGAGGGAAGGAGTTAGAATGTGAGACAAAGTTAAAACAACTTTCAGCAATGAGATACTTCAAACAGATTTCTCTTAAGATGTAAATAATCCTGTCCTTCTTTTCTCAGTACATCGTGAGGATATATAATCCAGACAAGCATATATATAGGTCAAATGGCATAATTCTAAGAGAACTGTGTATAATAAATACCATTTAAACTAAGAGTATGATCTTTTGCAAGCAAATTGAGATTTTATTGTTACTCAGTTTAAGGCATGTGGGCTAAATGAAATGAAAGATTTCATTTTATATGGGTGGATGTTATAGGTGACACCCAAGTACTGAAGTGAGCTCTCTGGCAGCTAGTTAGAAAATATACTACTGGAACCATGACTTGTATCAGGACATAAATAGATTTCTTATTTAGTTAATTGCCTCCTAGAATATTTTAATGCCAAAATTACGAATAAAAGATAACATTTGATCTTTCTTTTAGTCACAGCATATTTACTATACGAATATTGCAGATCAAAGATTCTGAGATGCCTCATGTAACACAAGTCAGTGAGTAAGTTGGTCATACTTAAAATTCTTATTATTTTGAGTTGTTCTGTTTGAAAAGCCTTTAAAGTTATTTTTGTTATTTTTTCTTTCTTTTTGGTTCACTCAGACTGTCATTGTGTGATCTTGCTGGTTCAAAAAGAAGCATGAAGACACAAAATGAAGGTGAAAGGTTAAGAGAAACTGGGAACATCAACACTTCTTTATTGGCTCTGGGAAAGTGTATTAATGTTTTGAAAAATAGTGAAAAGTCAAAGTAAGTGTTATAAGTGTTACTAGCATATTTAGTATTAAAATACTTAAGCTTTTAAGACGTTCTTTTTCCTTTGTGGAGGGCTCACATGGGGGGTCACACCTGGTAGTGCTGGAGACTACTTCCAGCATTGCCAGCTTCAAGCACTACTCGGAACCAAGTAGTAGATGGAAACTGGGGCCCGGACATGCAGAACATTCATTATCCCTTTGAGCTATCTCCCCGACCCAGAAAGTATTTTTTCTTAACCTGTTTTTTTTTATGTAATGACAATGGCTTATGATTGCTTTTTTTTAATGATAGAAATAAAACACAAGAGCCAGAGAGATGTACAGCTAGTTGGGCACTTGCCTTTCACGCAGTCAACCTGGTTGATCCTCCACATCACGTATCCCCTAGCACCAATAGGGGTGATTCCTGAGCATAGAGCCAGGAGTAACCTGAGAATCAATGGGTATGGCCCAAAATCAAAAAAAAAAAAAGGAGAAGAAGAAAGGAACACAGTCTCAATGTTAGTGATTTGCCAAGTAAATAAAGGTTTTCATAGAAAATATGTCAGTAGCTAATAAGCTTTTCATGATGCTGGTTTGTTCATTATAATTATGCTCTAGATTGACTGATTTCTGCCTAAGCATTTTAGGTTGAGTAAATTATGAATTAGTCTTCATCACTAGTTTTCGGACTACACTCAGCTGTGCTTGAGGATTACACCAGTCTTGTGCTCAGGGAACCATATAGTGCAAGTGATTTAATCTGTTCTGCCCACAAGGCATGAGCTCTAGGCCCCTGAGCCACCTCTCTGGCCTGTTTCTAAGTGTTTAATGATATGTATTATATATATATAAAATTGCTCTACATTGCTGAACACAACCCAGTTAGGTATTTTTTTTAACATTCTGCCTAGTGGGTTAATTGTGGTGGTAGTTTTTTAAAAATATAAGTAAGCAAAAAATTATTATTACACGACTAATTTCTAGTCTAGAATTTAAATCTATAATAGATTAATTACTTCCCTGTAAAATTTATTAGAATCTTGACTTCGCTAGAGTATGTTTTGGGGTGTGTGTGTGTGTGTGTGTGTGTGTGTGTGTGTGTGTGTGTGTGTGACCCCTGGCAATGCACAGGGGTTACTCCTGGCTCTACAGTCAGGAATTACTCCTGGTGGTGCTTTAGGGGACCATATGGGATGCCGGGGGTTGAACCCAGGTCGGCTGCATGCAAGGCAAACGCCCTACGTGCTGTACCATCACTCCGGCCCCTCACTTGATTTGTTTTAACTTAAAGTTCTTGTGAAACTTTTTTTTCATAGGTTTCAACATGTGCCTTTTAGGGAAAGTAAACTGACTCACTATTTTCAAAGCTTTTTTAATGGTAAAGGGAAAATATCTATGATTGTCAACATCAGTCAGTGCTGTTTTGCCTATGATTAAACACTCAATGTGTTGAAGTTCTGAGTCATTGCACAAAAGGTAAATATATTCAAGTTTCCATAGAACTTAATAGAATATCATTGTGTTTTTCTTTGTGTAGGTAAAAAAAAGAAATTGTTCTTTTAATTGTAAACCTAGGAAATTATTGAAATTTTTGTTGTTGTTGTTTGTTTTGCTTTTTGGGTCACACCCAGCAATGCTCAGGGGTCATTCCTGGCTTTGCACTCAGGAATTACAACTGGCGGTGCTTGGGGGAGCATATGTGATGCTGGGAATCGAACCCGGGACAGATGCGTGCAAGGAAAATGCAATACCTGCAGGGGACCATTGATGGATATTCTTACACTAATTTTCAACTTAGCCATCTCTCTGGTTCATTAGTAATAAATTAGGAGGTCCTGTTAGGATGAGAACTTAACTGAAGAAAGTACATATTTCTGAGCATAACTTTGCATGTGTAGTTCACTTTTTTTTTAGTTGCCCTTCTCAAGGGTTGATCCTTATGTGTTCTGTGGGGTTTTTTTAAGGCAATCAACTTGTCATTTTACTTAAAATTTTTAATTATTAGTGGACAATTCTTTCCATTTATTAAAAATCACCTTTGAATTTTTGACAGGTTTGTGTTCCAGAGTCTTTAAATTCCTCTCAAGAGAAATATTTTGGATCTATCAGATCTTCTCAAGATGTATCACTAGACATTAATAATTCAGAAAATAAAGTATTAAATGTAAGAAGATCCACTATTGCATGAGATCTTCTAGGTTACTTTCCCATGCAATAGTGGATCTTTTTACATTTAATACTTGGAAGATGAAGATTTGGTTGAAGATCTAGAAAAAAATGAAGAAAAGCCAAGTATGGAAACTGAACTAACTGATGACGATCTAGATAAAACAGTAGAGGAAGCCAATATAAAAATAAAAGTACTTGTTGCCAGGGCTGTACAGAGAGTACAGTGGGAAGGGCATTTGCTTTGTATGTGGCCAGTCTGGATTTGATCTCTGGCATCCCATAGGGCCTCCAGAGCCTGCCAGGATTGATTGCTCAGCACAGAGCCAGGAGTAAGCCCTGAGCAGGGTGTACCCCAAGAGGGAAAAAACCTACCGCAAAAGTTCTACTTGTTGCGTTTATTAATTTTTATAATGAATAATTTTGTTCATAATAAAAATATTTAATCTCTTATAAATCTTATTTTCTAGGTATCTGTAATGCGTGATGAAGAGAAATTAATGAGGGTTAAAATTAATGAACTGGAGAAAAAGAAAAACCAGGGTTCCCAGGAAATAGATATGAAACAGCGAACCATTCAGCAACTTACGGTAAATTTTGCTTTTAAGAATGGCTTGTTTGCCACTCAACGCCTCTTTTGCAGACCACAACACCCAAACGGAGAGAGAGAATACAGGGGATTGCCCTGCCACAGAGGCAGGGGGGATGGGGGATGGGGGTGGGAGGGATATTATCCATGGTGGTGAAAAACGGGCACTGGTGGAGGGATGGGTATCTGATCATTGTATAATTGAAACCCAAGCACAAAAAAAATTGTAAATCTACAACTGTAAAAAAATAAATAAATTTTTTAAAAAAAGAGTTAAAAAAAAAAAGAATGGCTTGAAAAGATTCTGTTGGCTTGCTCTTCAAGACCGTGTTCGCCCTGAAACACATCTCTGCCTCTTTGCTTCCTTGTTTCCCATCTGGGGAAGCTGTATTCTTAAAACACACCGCTTTTCCTCCCCTCACATCTTTCTAAATAAGTTTCAATAAAAACTGTCTTGTGGGCTGCAATAGTAGTATAGCATTAGGGCACTTGGCTTGAATGCGGCCAAACCTGGTTTGATCACTGGCAATCCCCTATGTGGTATCAGGATGGTGTGGACCTCCTGCATGCAAAGCATATGCTCAGCCCTGAGTTGTCTCCTATCCATAAAGTATAACGGGTTTCTTCCCATTACACTTCCCATTCTCCCTTTTTACCAAAGTGAAAGTCCCATTGTTAAGTATTTCTGTGTGTTTTAAGTTATATTTTAATTTAATTCATGTTGCTTCATTTTTCAGGAGCAGTTAAATAACCAAAAAGCAGAAGAAGCTATTCAACAGTACGAGAAAGTATGCAGAGGTCAGAAACAAATCCCTGATTCCAATAATAAAATGCATTTATCCTTTCTCCTTCAAGCCCATATTCTCCCTTGAATATGTACACATCTTGCTTGCTTGTGTCAGTGCATCTTAGTTTTTTTTTCCCCCACTCACTCTGGAGAGGAAATATTTCTCCTTTGTTCTAAGTAAGTTTTGTTCAGTAAAAATCACCTTGTAGGGCCAGAGGGATAGCACAGTGAAGCGTACATTTGCCTTGCACGCAGCCAACCTGGGTTTGATCCCATATGGTCCCATTATCGATCCCCTGAGCATTGCTGGTGTGACCCAAAAAGCCAAAAAAATAAAAACTATCTTGCTTCACTAAAAATATATATTTATTCCAAAATTTTCTTCTTTTAAGGAGCCAGAGAGAGAGAGAGTATAGGGGTTAAGGCACTTGCATAGCATCTGGCCAATCCTGGTCCAATCCCCAGCACCACAATGATCCCCTGAACACCCCCAGGTGAGCTCCTGTGCGCATAGCCAGCAATAGCCCTGGGCACCACTGGGCCATGGCCCCTACCCCTTCTTAAAAGGACATTGCCTGTTGGATTATGGTCCTCCCTAATCCGTTATAGTTTTGTTTTGTTTTTAAAGAAAAAAAAAACTTGGGAGCCATCCGTGGCTGTGCTCAGGACTTACACCTGACTGTGCTCAGGAATCCCTCCTGGAGGGACTTCCGGGACTATATGAGGTACCGGGGACCAAATCAGAATTAGCCACATGCGAAGCAAGCACATTAACCCCTGTTCTGTCTTTCCTGTCCTGTACTGTCTTAAATGTCACTGGTATAGATAGGAAATAAGTGCAAACTATCACGAAATATTTCTCATCCATTGTTTTGCCTGACGTTTATGTGACATTTTTGTCTCTAGTGTGTGATGTTCTTCTTTCCACTTACCACTTATTCTCATATGTTCTCTCAAGAACATTTATTCTCTAAACCTTTCCTCCTTGAAAGTATTCCAGAACATTATTGTTCTAAGTGATTCTCTTTCTGATGGTAAATAATTGATTGTCCATTTGACAGTCATTTATTCTACTGTGATAACACATAGGGATAGCTATCTCTTTTTCTTTTTCACTTTTGTTTTTGTTTTTGGGCCACACCCTGGTGTGCTCCTGACTCACTCCTGGTGATACTAGAAGACTATCTTCCATGCTGGAGATCAAATCCTTGTCAGCTTCTTACAAGGCAGAGCACCTTACCTTCTACACTATGTCTCCAGCCCAAGATATCTACCTCTTAAATGTATTGAAGTTGTTTGATTTGTTGCATATTTCTGAATTGTTTTGTGATATGTTATTTGGAGGCAATAACATTATCTTTTTTTCCCCCTTTACTGACCCTACATTTAAAATTATAGGTGGGGCTGGAGCTATAGCACAGCAGGCAGGGCGTTTGTCATGCACCAGCGACCCGGGTTCGATTCCCAGCATCCCATATGGTCCCCTGAGCACTGCCAGGAGTAATTCCTGAGTGCAGAGCCAGGAGTAACCCCTGAGCATCGCCGGGCGTGACCCAAAAAGCTAAATAAATAAATAAATAAAATTTTAGGTGATGGTCATTAGTTAGTATTGCCACTTTATTAATTTGAAGTGAAATATAAAGTCTGTGCTTCTAATTGAGTGTGAAATGTAAAGATAAAGAAAGGGTTCGGGAGCCAGAGTGGGGAGGGCATTTGTTTTGCATGCAGCTGACTCCGGTTCAATCCTCAGCATTCTATATGTTCCTCAAACTTCGCAAGTAGTGATTTCTGATCACAGAGTCAGGAGTAAATCCCAATTTTGGTGTGTGGCCCCAGTACCAAAAAATAAAAGGTAAAGGTAAAGGCCCTCCCGTTGATCGTCGATTTGCTCGAGCGGGCCCAGTAACGTCTCCATTGGAGACTTGGTTGTTACTGTGTCTGGCATATCGAATACTCTCGGTAGCTTGCCGGGCTCTCCGAGAGGGGCAGAGGAATCGAACTCGGGTTGGCCATGTTGGCCGCTTGTAAGGCGAACGCCCTACCCGCTGTGCTATCGCTCCAGCCCTGGAGTGATAGCACAGCGGGTAGAGCATTTGCCTTGCACCAAAAAATAATTTAAAAAATTAAGGAGTGTCTTTGAATAAATTTATGATTAGTAACATAGTATGAATCTGTTTGTAAATCATGCTTATGAAGGAAATGAATTACATAAAATTAAGACTTCTTTAATAATCCTTAAAGGAATTCTGTTTTATTAGCATCCTGGCAGTCTGGTGTCAATGGAATGAGGCACAGCAAATCTTGTATACGATTTGTTGTAATTCTTTTGTTTTAACTTCTTTATGTGCCCTTAATTAAGGGAATCATATTTGAAGATTTGTGTCATTTTAATGTCACTTTTTTTTCAGGGGGTAGGAGTTCAGCTACACTGGTGATGCTTAGGGATTACTCCTGGCTTTACACTCAGGAATTATTCCTGATAGAGCTGAGGAAACTAAATGGGGTACCAGGTATTCAACCTGGGTCAACCTGGAAAGCACCCTATCCACTCTGGCACCCAGAAACAACTTTTTTTTGACTGTTTGGGTCACAGTCAGTGATGCACAGGGGTTACTCCTGGCTCTGCACTTAAGGATTACTACAGGCGGTGCTCAGGGAACCATAGGGGATGCTGAGAATCAAACCCAGGTCAGTGCGTGCAGGCAAACACCCTACCCTCTAGTACAGCGGTAGTATAGATAGTACCCTACCTGTACTATCACTCCTGTCCCCAGAAACAACTTTAGTAAGACTTGTGGCACTGTCATTCTAGAAGAGCAGAAGTAGAAACTATAAAAGTAATAAGTATTCAGCAATGACAATTTTCAAGAAGAAATAATTACATGTCAGGGAAATGGCTAAAGGGGCTTGCCCCAGTTCAGTCTGGCAACACATGGTTCCCCATGCATAGAGCCACAAATAGCACCATCAGGTCTGGCAAAAATACCAAAAATTGAACAAATTTAAAGGAAAAATATTCCTGTGATTTTTTTTAAGATTGGGGCTAAAAGTGTTTTTAGGAGGAAAAAGTCTTAGTTTTTTAATGTTAGTATTAAAAATAATAGCTTTGTCAAAATAATCCTGTCAAAAGTAACAGTTTTTCTAAGTTTCATGATTTATGCTCAGTTTTTTTTTGTTTAAAAATTTGTTTTCCTTTTTATTTTTGCCATCATTCTTGTATCTATCTGTACAGCTGATATTTATTTGATCTATTGTTTTCGGCATTTGTCAGTATTGAGGATTCAGTAACGAACAACTCAAAGTTTCTACCTATATGGAATTCACATTTTTTATAGTTAATCAAATTACGTTTTAACTTTAGAACTCAAAAAGTCAATTATCTGGATAGTATGTATTAGTACTGTTTCTAAAAAATATTCTCCCCTAATTTTTTTGAACCTAGGTCAGCCACATGCAAGGCAAGCACCCTACTTGCTGTAGTATCACTTTTGCCCCTAAAATAGTTTTATCTAAGTAAAATTGTATATTAAAAAAAAAAGATGAGGACACAGACACAATAAGTGTCAAAAGCTCAGTAAGCTTCAAAATGAGTTATAGGTATGATTTTTTTATCTGTATTTGACTATTGGAGAAAAATTCAGTGGATGTTTTATTATTAACTTAAATGTGGGTGATTTAAGAGCTAGAAATTGTTAGTATATAGTTACAAATATTTAATATATATTGAAATAATATGAAGAGAAAATTTTTTTAATTTATTTATTTTTTTTCACTGGCTTAAATATCACAGGGCCAACCAAACATCTCTCATTAGGGCTTTCTATACATCTTGGGTTAATTTCTCAGGGAGGTTTCCCCGAAGTGGGTTCCTCAATCAAGATTTGGACTGTTTTTTTTAAGTTTGGCTTTTTTAAAATTCAATTTAATTAATTTATGTATTTGCTTTTTTTGGGGGGGTCCCACCCGGCAATGCACAGGTGATTACTCTTGGCTCTGCACTCAGGAATTACTCCTGGCGGTGCTCAGGGGACCATTGGGATGCTGGGAATCGAACCCGGGTTGGCCCCATGCAAGGCAAACGCCCTGCCCGCTGTTCTATCGCTCCAGCAACTGGAGAGGAAGTTTTCAAGATACAATGTTAAGTTGCAGTGTTTCTGTCAATAAGAATTATTTTTCAACTAAGTCTCACCTCTGTCCCATTCTTTATATCATCTTAAATGTTTAGATCAATCAATAGTATGATCATATTACTCAATGCATCACTTTTTTTTGAGAATTACAGGCTGTTTTTTATAATATTGGCATGTATATTGGGAGCTGGAGCAATATGTCTATAGTGTGTAGGGCTCTTGCCATGTACACAGCTAACCTGGGTTTGATCCCCAGCAATCCCATATGGTACCCCCAAGCCCCACCAGCAGTGATCCCTGGACACAGTCAGAAATCATCCCTCAGCACTACCAAGTAGTGCGCAAAGACAAAAAAGTAATAATTTTTTTAAGATTGGCATATTTTAAAATATAATATACCTGAACACTATGTAGTGAGTACCTGAAAGTTCCTTGTAGTAGTTGTTCTTCCCTAAAAACTTAACGTGTAGCTCTGGGAGTTGTATCAGTTGCATCAGTTCTCCTTGGTCTCTTCTTCTGGGCTTTGGTGATTTCTTGTCTGTATCCCATGTGTATTTTAAAACAATTTTGTTTTTAAATCAGAATTGGAGAAATTGAAAGAAAGGTACAAAGATCTGGAAACCAAAAAAGATCAAAGGTCAAATAAAGAACTTAAGGATAATGAAGATTCACTTAGTAAAAAGCTCAGTAAGCTTCAAGATGAGTTACAGGTATGAAATTTATCTGTATCTGACGATTGTATTTCCATTAGAGGAAAATTCAGTGTATGTTTTATTATTAACTTACATATGGGTGAGTTAAAAGCCAGAAATTGTTAGTAATAGATATTGAAATAATATGGAGAAGAAATTTTCAAGATACAGTGACAAAATGTCAACGTAAACATAATGATTGGGTCTTTTTTTCCATAATTTCAGTATTAATCCTTTAATTACCTTTTTTTGTCTTATTGCCTGTTCTTCATTATCATTTCTTTTTTTATTGACACTCCACACAAGTATTTCCCTCATCCATTTCACCATAGTGCTGTCACACAATCAAAAAAGAGACCTCTGACTTTTCCCCCCATTTCCCTTCTTTTTTAATTATTTATTCATTTATTTTTGTTATATTTATTTATTGAATCAGGGCTAGAGCGATAGCACAGCGGTAGGGCGTTTGCCTTGCACGCAGCCAACATGGCCGACCCGAGTTCGATTCCTCTGCCCCTCTTGGAGAGCCCGGCAAGCTACTGAGAGTATCTCACCTGCGCGGCAGAGCCTGGCAAACTCCCCGTGACATATTCGATATGCCAAATACAGTAACAACAAAGTCTCCAGTGGAGACGTTACTGGGCCCGCTCGAGCAAATCGATGATCAACGGGAGGGCCTTTATTGAATCACTGTAAGAAAAGTTACAAAGCTTTCAAGATTAAGTCTCGGTCATACAATGATCAAACACCTTTCCCTTCACCAGTACTCGTTTTTCGCCACCAAGAACCCCAGTATACCCCCCTCCCACCCTTCCCAATGCCTGTGAGGCAGATGATTTCTACTTAATTCTCTACTTTGATTACATTCATTATTTCAACAAAAGATGCACCATTATTGTTTAGAATTTCCCCCCAACAATCAGAACTGCTGAAAAGGCATTGTGAAATACTTTGTTTTCTATAGCTGGTTATGAGAACCATATGATGTCACACGGCCACTATTGAGATTTTGGATTTCTGATATTTTACTAGGTAAGTCTGGAGGGATTTCTGCCAAGAGCCAGATAATTACGAGATTGGTTTCTGTGCGTCTGGTATTGTTTGCCAACTTCTTTGTTTTATTTATTCATTTTTCACATACAGGTGTAACCATGTAATAATTGTTATCACTTCCTATTTCATTGATTGTACTCAGTATCTAGCTATTTTATTCCAAATGGCACAATTTCATCTTTTCTAATGACAGTGGAATTCTTAATGTATGTACTTTAGATTCTTTGTCCAGCCATCTGACATTAGGCATCTCAGTTGATTCCATGTTGGTAACTATGGTGAATAATGCTGCTGTACATAGAAGAATGGATATATCTTTTCAAATTAGAGTTTCCATTTTCTTCAAGCAGATGCCTAGGAATGTATATCTATTTTTTACTGCTTCCTCATCAAACACTGCTATGGAGAAGATGAGCATTAGGAAATCATCTTGACTATTATAAATTTTTCAAATTTTAAGCAAGAAAAGAATATAACATATGAAAATACAATAATATATTCGAAACTATAAAGAAGACTATCTTTGTCTTTTTCATGTTCTGCTTCATCGTACTGTATAGAATATAACATGGGGTTCTCTTTTTTTCATGGGATTTACAAAATACTACATAAGTTTTTATACATTTTGTTAAAAGTACATTCTAACTAATTTTTAGTTAAAACATTAATGTTTTTAATTAACATTAATTAACATTTAAAATGTTTTTTAAAGATTGGGGATTTAAATCTACATTCAGTCTCTAGAGTCAGAAATTAAGAAAAAGAACAAAGAACTACTTTCTTTTGTAATGTGCTTATTTACTTTTTTATTGTGAAAAACTCAAAAGCTGCTAGAACATCACTAGTACAGGGAAAACATACTAATTGTGAGAGTTCATACAAGGAGTATTAGTATACCTTTCCTTATTCCTTTTTTGGTGGGGGAATCTTGGGAGGCCATATCCAGCAATAATCAGGGGTTACTCCTGGCTCTGCACTCAGAAATTACTCCTGGTGGAGCTTGGGGGACCATATGGGATACTTGGGATCAAACCCTGGTCAACCTTATGCAGAGCAAATGCCATATCTGCTGTACTGTCGCTCCATTCCTACTTTGTTTTTTCTTTTTTCTTTTTTTTTCTTTTTTGGGTCACACCCGGCGATGCACTGGGGTTACTCCTGCCTCTGCACTCAGGAATCACCCCTGGCGGTGCTCAGGGGATCACATGGGATGCTGGGAACCGAATCCGGGTCTTCCACGTGCAAGGCAAACGCCCTACCCTCTGTACTATAGATCTAGCCCCTCCATTCCTGCTTAGCATTATTCTAAAATGATGAAATCACATATCTTAGAAGTATATTTCATAATCCTGGAATGAACTGCCATAGTTTAACTAAAACAGTGATTTTAGAAGTTTTAAAACAGCGCCAGAGCAATAGTACAGTGGGTAGGGTGTTTGCCTTGCATATAGCCAAATATTTTTAAGAAATTAACCATTGGTGAAATTTATTATTTTTAGAATTTGGTGAGGGCTGGAGCGATAGCATAGCGGTAGGGCGTTTGCCTTGCATGCAGCCAGCATGGCCGATTCAAGTTCGATTCCTCTGCCCCTCTCGGAGAGCCCAGCAAGCTACCGAGAGTATCTCGCCCGCACGGCAGAGCCTGGCAAGCTCCCCGTGACCTATTCGATATGCCAGACACAGTAACAACAAAGTCTCCAATGGAGACGTTACTGGGCCCGCTCGAGCAAATCGATGATCAACGGGAGGGCCTTTTTACTTAGAATTTGGTGAAATGTGAAAATAAGAAGAATGCTACACCCAGAACCAATCCGAAATCCCCTTTTCCAGAGTACAGAAATTCTCCCAAAAAGGAACAACAGGTTTGTCTTTTGATTTGTCCCATATTAGCTCTTTCCACAACTGTAACTAGAAGATAAAAATAAAGATGTCAGAATTGATTCGTATTGGAGCCAGAGAGATAGGACAGCGGGTAAGGCTCTTGCTTTGCACATGGCCAACCTGGGTTCAAACACCAGCATCCCGTATGGTTCCCTGAGTACCACCAGGATGGATTCCTGAGTGCAGAGCCAGGAGTAACCTCTGAGCATTGTCTGGTGTGACCATCTCCCCATCCCTCCACAACCTCCCCCCCCAAAATTGATTAGTATTACCAGTTTTACTCAATATAATTCATTTAGCATCTCTTTCTCGTTCATTCATTCATCTTGGAATAGAAACATCAGCATTTGGCCACAACTCGATGTGTTTATTTCTGTCTTAGCCCTCTGCCTGGCACAGTACTTTGCCATCCTCTGGCCCTTTCATCCTGTTCTTCACATACTTAATAAAATAAGTTCTTTGCCTTAGGCTTCATAACCTGTGTCTGCCGTCTTCTTATGTTGTTTTGATTTGGTTTGGTTTGGTTTGGTTTCAAAGCCACACCAACTGTGCTTAGGCCTTACTTCTGGAAGGGATCAGGGGACTGTATGTGGTACGGGGATTGGGGGGGGGGGGTCAAACCCAGGTCAGTGCAGGCAAGAGCCTTATCTGCTGTACTATCTCTTCAGCCCTTTGTCTGCCACCTTTTTTTTTCTTTCTTTTTGGGTCACACCTGGCGATGCACAGGGGTTACTCCTAGCTCTCACTCAGGAATTACACCTGGCGGTTCTCAGGGGACCATATGGGATGCTGGGAATCGAACCTGGATTGGCTGCATGCACAGCAAACGCTCTACCCGCTGTGCTATTGTTCTGCCCCCCCCCCCCCCACCGTGCTTGTCTTCTTAGCTGTGTTTACAAGTATTTATTTCTGACATTCCTCAGCAACAATAACAAAACACGTTTGTCTATTAGGTTTCCACACAACTTCCATCTAAGAAAACTTATTCTTTACAAATTCAAGCCTACGATGTTAGTATTAGCTTGACTACTAAGGAAAAAGAAGAAACGTTACAGAAATTTGGAGACTTCTTACAACATTCACTAGCAATTCTTCAGTCAAAAGGTTTGTTGAAAATTAATTAAATGACCTTGCATGTTAAGTATAAAGTATTTTCTGATGTCTGGTATATAAAGTCAATGGCTGATTATTATATTTCAAACAGACTAATAATAATAAGAGTCCCTATGTTAGATACTGTGGAGGTTCAAGGGATAATAGGATGATAAATCTAATGTTTAATGTGAAGTGGAGAAGAAAGATCTACATATAAGTAATGATCTGCCTAAGATAACATTAAACCAGTGATGAAAGTTGCAAGCAGAGTGCTATAGGAGTGTTGGATGAAAGAGGACTATAGTGATTGGGAATCTGAAAGAAAATTTTACTGAAGAAATGAAATTTAATCTGAGTATTTAAAGTTGTCAAGATTACAGGTTTTAGTATTTGATATAAACCTCCCCCTTGGTTTATGGACCACCCAGTGGTGCTTAGAGCTGATTCCTGGCTCTCTGCTCAGGAATCACTCCTGGTGGGGCTCGGGGGTGCTGGGGATTGAACCCAGATTGGTCACATGCAGAGCAAGTTCCCTATCTGCTGTACTATCACTCCATCCTCAGGTTTGAATTTTTTTTTCTTTTTGGGTCATACCCAGCGATGCTCAGGGGTTACCCCTGGCTCTGCACTCAGGAATTAGTCCTGGCGGTGCTTGGGAGACCGTATGGGATGCCAGGGATCAAACCGGGGTCGGCCGCATGCAAGGCAAATGCCCTACCCATTTTATTATCGCTCAGGCCCCAGGTTTGAAATTTTTAAGGAATAATTTCAGATCTTTGAAGTTTGAAAATTATTACAAGAATTAGTGTCTAAATTTTTTTTCACAGCAAAGAAGATAATTGAAACAATGAGTTCTTCAAAGCCCTCAACTGTAGAAGCAAGTAAAGAAAATGAGTCTCGACCGAAACGGAAATTGCGCACACAGGAAATTAAATCTCCTGTTGATATATCTGTCCAAGTGGTAAGCTGCTATTTCAGTTTCCTTAAATTTTCTAAAGTTTTGATAACAATTTAAAGTATAAATGGATTTAATTTCTATTCTCTCTAAATCAGATCTCTTAAAATACATGTTTTAAGAATAATATTTGTTATGTGGGGCTGGAGCAATAACACAGCTGATAGGGCGTTTGCCTTGCACTCGGCCGATCCAGGTTCAATTCCTCCACCCCTCTCAGAGAGCCCAGCAAGCCACCGAGCGTATCTCGCTCGCACAGCAAAGCTTGGCAAGCTACCCGTGATATATTCGATATGCCAAACACAGTAACAAGTGTCACAATGGAGACATTACTGGGCCCACTCAAACAAATCAATGAACAACGGGAGGACAGTGACAGTGACAGTAACTTCTTATGTGATATATACTAAATATGGGATGAAGAGATAGTACAGCAGGTAAGACACTCGTCTTGCATGCAGCCAACTTGGGTTCAATTCCCAGGCCACATAAGGTCTCCTGAGCCCCTCCAGGAGGAATCCCTGAGTACATGGCTAAAAGTAACCCCTGAGTTACTTTGTTTTTTATTGCTCCCTGGGCTGGAGCAATAGCACAGCGGGTAGGGCGTTTGCCTTGCACGCGGCCGACCCGGGGTCAACTCCCAGCTTCCCATATGGTCCCCCGAGCACCACCAGGAGTGATTCCAGAGTGCAAAGCCAGGAGTAACCCCTGAGCATCACCGGGTGTGACCCAAAAAAAAGTAATAAATAAAAGTAACCCCTGAGTATAGCCAGGTATGGCCCAAAAACAAACAAAAAATTCATACACACACACACACACACACAGTCTATATAAATGCTGCATCAATATACACAAGTGTTCTACATTTACATTTGTAAATTCATGGGGAATTTTAATTCCATCCAGAGTTGTTACTGGTAATTTATTTGCTTCCAGAGTTATTTTTCTTGCTATCTTTACCACAAAAGTTATACAAATCTGGGCCAATGTGTGCCTGTTAAAAATGGAGAATTGACGTTATTTCCTCCCACCTATTCTTTAAACATCCATCCACATTCCATTAGAAAAGACTGTAGTTTATCACCCTAACACTTATGACTCATTCTCCTCACTCAGAACAGGTTGTGCTACTGCAGGGAAAGATCTCATTTTCTCGCATGTAAAAATGTACTTTGGAGAAAAGCCTTCAACAGAAAATGGCAAAGAAAAATCAGGGGAGAGGCATTCGCAGTATTACCTATCAGATAAAAGATAGACATTGGGGGGTGGGGGGAGCGTTGTTTGTTTTAGGCCACATCCAGCAATGCTAAGGGATTACTCCTGGCTCTGCACACAAGAATTACTCCTGACAGAGCTTGGAGGACCATATGGGATGCCAGGGGTTGCCTCTGGTCAGTGTGTGCAGGACAAGCACCCTACCTGCTGTGCTCTCCCTCTGGCCCCATGAAAATTATTTTTTAATTGCAACATAATAATTAATCTTTCTACTTTCTAAGTTATATGCTTGTTGCTATAAAAGATCATAGCAGTAAAAGAGTCTTTTGCAAAATCTTTACAGGCATGATTTTCTATAAAGTTAGTATATCTGGAACTAGAGTGATGGTACAGTGGGCAGGGCACTTGCCTTACATACAGCTAATCTGTATTCAATACCCAGCAAGAGTGAACACTAAGTTCACCACAAGGTGTGACCTCCAAAATACAAAAAAAGATAATATACCTGCAGTTTAAGAGAAAAAAAGATCTCATACTGTACCTACTTTTCCATTGTTAAGCTCATGAACATCTCAGTCATTATATCTTTTAATTCATTTTTCATTTTTTTAATTGTGAAATTGTTTATTTTAGATTGTGATGAACCGGAAAGTGATTGTGAGATTCTTAAGCGATGACTTCGAGCTAAAATAGCCAAATTAATCACCTATGAAAAGTCTTTTAATCTAAATACTATATTCATAATAATTGTAACTTCCATTTTGCCTTTTAAAGCTTGTTGTATATAAATATATATGTGTATATATGTGTGTATATGTGATGCATTAAATTCCCATTTGTATACATTGCTATTTTATAGTAGAAATAATTGAATAAAGAAAACAAATCAACAGTAAATTTACTTGTCTGTATTTTCCTTTTATCCCAGTCTTATAATCAGTGAAGGTCCTGGGAAAAAATGCTTTTGTTTTTGTTTTTTCTACAAATAGATGTTATAGGTCAGCTACTTGCTTTACTTATAAGTATCTTATGAATTGTTTTTCCTGCAGCTTTCAGAAAAATACAGCCAATTTTATGTTTGTCTTATAGAAACAGTCCAGGGAGCTAGTATATACAGGAATTCCAGTAGCAGAAACTATAAAAAAGGTACACACACAAAATTTAGAGATCTATCTTTCTTATCTAATAAAGTTTGAGTTCTGGTTTTCCTAGGGCATAGAGGGAGACTTGGAGGCACGTTAGAAATATTTTCTTAATTTTGTAGATGAAAAACTTGTACTCAAAGTTTAATTATATTCTCAAGATACAATGACCTTCTGTTTTAAAAATATACAGTAGCGGGGCTGGAGCAATAGCACAGTGGGTAGGGTGTTTGCCTTGCACGTGGCCAACCCGAGTTCGATTCCCAGCATCCCATATGATCCCCTGAGCACCGCCAGGGGTAATTCCTGAGCGCAGAGGCAGGAGTAACCCCTGTGCATTGCCGGGTGTGACCCAAAAAGCAAAAAATAAAAAAAAATTTTAAAAATAAAAATATACAATAGAGGCAGAGCAATAGTGTGTGTAGCACCAGTAGTGCCCCTGAGTATCTCCAGGTTTGACCCAAAAAGCAAAAAAAAAAAAAAAAAAAAGTAAATTTACTGTGATTATATGAATTACTAGCTAAGGAAAGGAAAAAGAAATGCGCCCTTCAATAGAATTCCTTGGGCGATCTAGCAGGAATTTAGAGTGTGGGACCCCCTAGATGAGATTCTGTCCTCGGGTGGATCTCCTAGAAGAACTTCCCCCAAAGGAAGGGCTTTGCATCTGTTCCTTGTTTATGCTAATATTCGACCACACCTATGTATAATTGTTGCCCCCCCCCCCCAACGCTTCACTATTTCTCTATAATTAACGCTGTGAGACTTAAATAAACGGCCACTGATTCCCAACCAGACGAGTGGCCCCCATTTCTCTGTCTGTTGGCTGGCCAAGGAACAGTGATTGCACCTGAACACCCCAGGGGATCCCCAGGTCACCTCAGGGCACTGGCTCGGGGCAAGAACAAGTAAGTAGTGCTTGCCTTGCTTGAGGCCAACTTCAGTTCCATCCCAGGCATCACACATCTGGGTCCCCTAAACACCTCCAGTTGTAGCGCAAAAATGCAAAACTTCAAAATGAGAAATGGTGAAACCATAAGAAGGAAAAGAGGATGTAGCATATGCTCTGGATTCATCCATGCCACACTGAACACTGCCGGAAGTGATCCTAATCCAAGAGCGTTGCAGAGTGTGGCCAACCAAAAATAAAAGCCCAAGAGATGCAAATATAGTACATGTTAAAATGGGAAGAGGACATATGCTGCTGAGATCTCTTCATTTCATTTTTCATTTCATCATCCTGTTAATCGTCGATTGCCTCGAGCAGGCCCCAGTAACGTCTCTTTCATCCTAGCCCTGAGATTATATTCAGGGCTCTTTAGGAGAATGAGACCCATCATTGTTACTGGTATTTGGCATATTTGGTAGGCCACGGGGAGTTTGCCAGACTCTGCCCTGTGTCCGAGATCTCTTCATGATGTATTTTTTTTGTCTTCAGATGCATTAGGATCAATTAAGATCCCTTTCAAAATATCCTGGGTAACTTTTATGTATGCAGAGAGCTACAGGCCAAGACAATTTGGAAAAATTGACATAGCTTTCCAAAATTCCTTTTCTGGTTTTTCCCACTCAGGAGAATTCCTCAATCCCTCGCTTTTTTTTTTTATTATGCCAGGATCTGTCCTCAGGGATCACTCTTTGCTGTGCTGGGGGAGCTTATAGGGTGTCAGAGGTTGACCCAGGTTGACCCCAGCAAGACAACTGCCCTAATTGCTGTTCTATATCGCTCTCCCACCGGCTGCAGTCTCTTGAACACCTCTCTCTCCCTCTCTCCCACACTCACACTTCTCTAAGTGAATTTCTTTCAATAAAATTATTTTGTGGGGGCCAGAGCAATAGTACAGTGGGCAATGTGGGTAGGGCGTTTGCCTTGCACGCGGCCAATTGGGTTTGATCACTGGCACACCAAATGGTCCCCCAAGCACCGCCAGGAGTAATTCCTGGGTGCAGAGTCAAGAGTAACCCCTGAGCATCACCGAGTGTGACCCCAAAAGACAATATAATATATATGTGTATGTATATATACATATACATATATATTAAATTTATAGCTTCACTTTTGTAAAACGCAATTAAAAATGTCGAAGTGGCGGGCCAGAGCAGTAATACAGCAGATCCGGCACTTGCCTTGCACACAGCCTACCCAGATTCAATCCCCCATATGGTACCCCGAGCACTACCAGGAGTAATCCCGGAGCACCACCAGGCGTGGCCCCAAGACAAAAACAATATTTTAAACTGGAGATTCCAACTATTGGCGGGCTACGCCCCGGCCCTCCTCGGCCCCTGTGCGCAGCTCGCCGGAGACGCCGCCGGAAGCGGGCGTGCCCCGCCCGTGTCTTCGAGACGTTGTAGCTGGGGCTGGCGGCGGGGGCGCGCGCGGGGGTCTGGCCGCTCGCGCTTCCAGGTGTCGCTCCACGTGGGAGGTGAGACGCGCCCGCTGCCGCCCTCAGCGAGGCCCGGCCGCGCGGGTGTGGCCTGCCGCGGGGACGCTCGGGGCGGCCGGAGCCCAGCAGCCGGGCGCGGCGGCCGACGGGGACGAGCGACCTCGTCGCTCCCGGCTCACCCGACCCGCTGCAGTCACACACGCGCGTGCGCACACGCACACCCACCCCCCCACACACCCACACACACCCCGACACGCACGCACCCCGACACACACCTGCACACACACACACACGCCCAAACACACCACACACACGCACACCTGCACACACACCTGCACACACACACTCACACACACACACACACACACACACACACCCCTTCCAGAGCTGAGCCTGCCAGAGTTCCCACGGGCCCATTTCCGCGCCGGGCTGGGAGCCGCCTTGGCGGCCCCAGGATCCCCTCGTTGGCCACAGACCTTGTCAGCCCGTCACCGGCCTGGTCGGAAGGTTTGGGGGTTCAGAGAAATTCCTGCGAGGGACCCAGGTGTCCGCAGCATTTCCCTGCCCACAGGAGGTCGCCTTCGAACCCCTGCACCGTAGAAACGAGTCCATCCTGAGAGGGCCGAGCGGAGGTCCTGCTCCGTCAGCTGTTCGGGCGATCGGGACGCCACGTCTGGAAGCGGACCCGGTCGAGCACCGCGGCCGCCGAAGCGGGTGCTTCTCGGGGCGGACGGAGCATGTGTGTGGGAGCAGCGAGGGGAGTGCTCGCTGGCGTGTTGGCTCGAAACCCTGCGAAGAGACGGGTGGGGAAGGCACCTGGGGCGCCTCAGAAGAGAGCCGGGGAGGGCTGGCCAATTAGGGGGACAGGGGTCCCCACTCCTGTCGTCGTGGGACTGTCATTTCATGGCGTTTTCTCTTTCCCTGACTCCCTTTCCAGGACCCGCCGTCCCGAGGTGAGCAGATGACAGCTCCAGGTGAGTTGAGGACTTTTTTTTCTCCAAAAAAATGGACATCTATGAGAAATCCGTGTTGGCTTGCCGGGGAGAGGGGATAAAGGAAGAGCATCAGCATTGAGTGCCCATCTAGTGCCACCTGTCCTATCCCGCCTAGTGATTTTCTCTGTACTGACCCACTTCATTATGAGACACCCGTGGGTACCAGACATTAAGATGCTGGGAACATTATATGACTGAAACCCAACCATTAACAAATTTGTAATTGTGTATCTCTCTGTGATTCAATTAAATAATAAATAAAATTATACAGAATTTTAAAAAAAAAGTTCAGGACACCTGGCTCTCAGTTAATGACACCAGGCACTGCACGGGTCACTGCTGACTGAACTGATTTATTGTTTTTCACTGAGCATCCTGTTGGCCAACTCCCCAGAGAACTTTTAGGAAAAGGATCATCGTGGTCTGCTCCTCTCCCTTAAAACTCCCCTTTTCCTGGGCCAGAATGATAGTACAGAGGGTAGAGTTTTTTTCTTGAACTTTTTCTCTTTTAATTTTTATTAGTTTGGGCCACACCTAGTGGTGCTTGCACACTGCCAACCTGGGTTCAATCCCTGGCATCCCATATGGTCCCCTGAGCACCACCAGGAGTAACTCCTAAGCACAGAGCCAGTTTGTAACCCCTGAGCATCGACAGGTGTTACAAACAAACAAATCTCCCCTCTCCTGTTAGGCATTTCACTCAAAATGAAAGTTAATTCAGGCTCAAGGAAATAACTCAAAGGCTAGAGAGCAGCTCTGGCAAGCAGAGACCCTGGATTTGATCCCCAGTACTGCATGTTCCCTGGGGCACCAATGGGGAATGATGTACCTAAGTACTAAACTCAGGTTAGCCTCTGAGTACCAACAGGTGTGATCCCCAGAATCAAAATGTTATTGAAAGCTTTACACACACACAATCCAATGCTAAATTATCTTAGAAACACAATCTGTAGTGCTCTTATACATGAGTTTTTGGACATAGGGGGAAAGTTTACACATTAAGGAAAGTTTTGGGGGAAGGCCAAAGTGATAGTACAGCAGCTGGGGTTCTTGCTTTGCATGTGACCAACCCAGGTTTGAGACCCAGCATCCCATATGGTCTCCCATACATCACCAAGAATAATTCTTGAGCACGAAGCCAGGAGTAACCCCTAAACACCTGGTGTGGCACA